CTTAATATACTGGATTTTATATAGCTTTTCAGTCTCTATCAGATTATGCATTGCGCGGCAAAACCGTTATGCCACCTTAAAATTTTCAATCCTTATGTATTGTGGTTAAAATAAAAACGATCCATTTTTATTGTAGGGAATATAATCTTTTCTTTTCTGGAGAAACATTAGGTATTGTTTAACATGATTTCAGGCATGGCATATATGGTTCATTATTACTTTCACCACAATACATAAGAACTGAATACGTGTATTTTAAGGTGGTTTTATAGTTATGCCATGTATATATTAAACACATGCAAATGTTTCGAGTTGACGTTAAAGAAAATGATGAAAATAAAGCAAATTGGGGAAGTGGTAACTTTTTTTCTCCTACTGTATATATAATTTGTAAATATAATCTATTTCTGTTTCTCGAAAAAGCTGGTATCCTCATGTTTATGAACGGGAATGTATGTACGGTTGTCCAGAAAATGTACTACGTACGCACATACAGGGTCTTATTGACTCACCCTGTATAATAATCCAGTACGAACACGAAGAACATCCTTTTACCCACATACCCATTTCATTCGTCCGTCACACTGAAATCTTTTCAAAAACTGTGATCTCTTAATTTTCCAAATAACCGAATACACTCCCGGCTAAAAGCATTCGAATCATTTCGTTTTATTCCCCTTGTTCTATGTTCCATCTTTCTCACGGGTAACACGCGAAACAGACGACGATACGTGGTAAATTCCAGTATTCTGGAATTCCTTGTACCGACGAACATCTCTGCACCCATCGCCGTTAAGAAATTGATAAAAAAAAACACACACACACACATTCGTGCAGTTCATTGCGAAACTGAATCTGATTTTTTCAGAATACTAAATTATCAATAATCGGATTAAAAACGAGACACGTTCCTCTTTATTTACATCGTTTCCCCCCGTCTCGAGAGGAGCGAGTTTCGAATTAAGCCGGGTCCCGGAGTTATTAAACGGAACGAAACGCGACCGGAAAATTGATCGTTGCATTGCCCGGCGTGTGTCGTAGAGCTATCCGGTGTCCGATGAAATAAATTTCATCGTCGCCTACGATACACACGGCAGAGATATACCTTATTCCTCGACGAGGCAAGTGTAACAGTTATGAACTCGTCCCCGATAAAATTTAATTGTCGCCTCGTTCCCGTGGCCCGTGTACAGCCGTGAAATAAATTCGTTTCACATCGACAACTGAGGAAGGAGGGAAAGAAAGAGAGAGAGAGAGAGACGCGAGAGTCAGCGTCGATCGCAAATTTTTCCCGAGAAAATACGTTTTCGTCCTTGTACACACGGATCGCCCCAGAGTGGTGTGTGCATTCACTCGTTGCTCCGATTCCAATGTCATTATACCTCTCTGTCCCTGGGATCACTGAAGAAGAACTGGGCTTGCCGTTCTGTGGAAGCTGTGAACCACCTCGTTCGTGTGGTAAAAGTGCAGGTGCAGCTGGGTAGAATAGACATTGGCCCGCGGATGGGTTCACGGGCGTCCACCATAAATTTCACGATCCCGCGATCCAGATACCACCGAAGAGTCCAGAATGAAAAAAGACGGTCAGGGGGATATCTCTTACTCCGAATATCGGCCGGCCTTTGCCGAGCTCTGTGAGAAAAGACAAAAGGGATATATCGCGTCGGAAATCATTGTTTCGTTCCTCGTGTGAACTTTTACATATACTGTTAGAACTGATCGATAGATGAAGATATAATAGAATTAACACTTTACTGATTCGTAGCTGGCGTTGTTAAAATGAGCTTCGAGCTTTAACTTGTATATTTATATTCTATGAAACTTAAGCTTTTAAAGCTCTAAGAGGAAATAATTTAGTAACGTCCAGAAAAGCGTGTTTTTCAGCAAGATATAGAAGTAATTTTAGGGTATTTTGCGTCGAAAAAGATAGTTTTTCCATTTGCTCACGCTTCATTGATCTGAAATACAAAGTTGAATCATTTTTTTTGGTTATTTACACGAATTTCGATCTAATATTTTAGGAGAACATTTTCAAAAGATTGTACATTGAAAGTATGTTAAGAAAGCTCCATTTCCAGATAATAATTTTACACAATATAATCATATTGTGTAATATTTTATCATGATATGGTTCTAACTAATACTATAGTTCTACTGTGATTGAACTGCTTAATAATAGTTCTTCTGTTTAATAATAGTTAGCAAGACATGTCAAGGTCAAGGTCATCGGTCATTGTACTTATAAATACTACTACAGTACGATGCAAAACTATTCTTGGATAATTACTTTTTTCTACAAACTGCGACCCTCAACTAAAACCTTCGCAACACTACTCATGGTTATGACCTTGACGACATATTAAAAACCATCGAAATCGGAGGTAGCTCCCTTATTGTAAATATTTACCAATATTTCATTTTGTTCGGTGCATTGTATACTGTCTTCTAAGAATAAGTATGCTAGAGCTCTCTGTAACCACTTAAAAAATTCACCGAAGAATTACAGTAATCACCATAACTTTCATAGAAAGCATCCAGAGTTACAAATCCAATTAGGTGACAAATCCTCATGACAAGAACCTTTCGACAAACGTGCGTGCATCGGGGGGTAAACCAGCCCAAGGAAAACTTATATCCACGACGCGTTCCGATAGTTTCCGCTCGTTAGAATGGATCTGACCGCGGGACATATACAGCCGTTCGAACTGAGAGATTGAAATCGGCGGTTTCCGGTTCCCAGTGCTCCCAAGCGAGCCGTGACGCTCGTTTGTTTCCCTTCAGGGGGAGGGAAGAACCTAACGGGGAGAGCCACGACGCAATGCGTGTTTTCGTGCTCGATCGTTTGTTCTTTCGAGATACCTCCCTGCGTACGTTCCCCGTACACACGTACACACAGAGCCACAGACACACACACGAGCGACATGAAGAAGGAAGAATATCCTCGAGTTTGCTCGTAATTAGCGTAGCCGCGTTACTACCTCTCATCCTTCAACCCACACCCTACCGTTTCAGCCCTACACACATCCACAAACCCGCCCGTATTTCCTCTCTATTCCAACGTTTCGCCTTCTGTTCATTCTCCCACTGTCTTTCGTCGTGTTCCTTTGCTCCCCTTCCTCCCTCTTTGCCTCCCTTCGTACGCTCATTACATACCGACCCTTCGTTTTGTGTATACACAACGCTGGAATTTGAGGATAATAATTGAAGCTGTTGCCGCTGATGTCTCTAACGACGCCCCCCCCCCACCCCCTCCCCAATCCGTGGATCTCACTTTGACATGTTGCGCGCAATATGTATTGATCGTTTTGGTACGTTGCACGCATTCGAGACGGTCGTCGGGGTGTATAAATGATCAAAGTGATTTGATGCCACGTGATATCACGTTGAAGTGAATGCTGGGAAGTTTTTATCGAATGGCCGCACGATGTATGTAATTTCAAGGGAGTCGTCGGTTTGAATCGGTTCGACGTGTAATTACGTTTTTATGCTTTTTAGAGAATTTGTGGATATGTAGTTGAATGATTGTCGAGTGATTTATTACAGTAGAATTATTTTAATATTTTTTGTTATTTGCAATCAGTATGTAGGTATATTGCGGGGAATCTTAGTTTCGTGCACTTTACAGGGTCAATTTTTCACGCGAAATCAACGGTTCATTTTTCAGAACTTTACTTTTTTCCCTGGGATGATTTAAAACAATTTTTTCCTCAGCGAAAATGTTATCCGAGGCTTTGTTAACGAAATATTAACGAAAAACACCATTTTTATATGTATAATCACAACCGATGTGACAGCTGCTTCTTGCGCGGATTTAACCACAATTCAATAATAAGTTAATTAATGTTTCGTTACCGCATGTAATAAGTTGATGTTATATTTAATCACTGAATATGAGTTGAGTGTTTGGGGTCATATGATCCCTCTCTAGTAGGATAAAATGATCCCAGGAATCAGTTTACCCATATGCTATATTGTTGTTTTTTGTTTTAGTTACAACAATGCCCCGTCAGTATGAAAGAAAAACAACGCGACAACGTTGTTTTTATTTAAATAAAATGTAATAACTGAAATGCTTTTTAATGTTCGTCGTATTTACTATCAGTAGGTATAAAATGATCCCCGGGGATCGTTTTATACACATACCTTACAAAATGATCCTTAAGTATGCCTTGAAAGAAATGTGAATAAAATACATAATTGATCACGTAGCTAAATTTTATTTAAGCCCATGATAAGATAAATAGACCAACTTACAAAAACTACTTTACTTTTATTTAAATAATGTGCATTTCTATTTTTTATATAAATTACGCCTTAAAGGGATCGTTTTAGACACCTTTCCCATATATATCACATCTGTTTTCTCGTGAACGTTCCATCCATCTCGTTCATACCATCCCCCCCCCCTGCTCCAAAATAAAAATAAATCCAACCGGAAACAAGGTTATATTCCAAACTACTTTACTTTCCGTGCCTTCTAGGAAATGAAATACGCATTATCGTAATACTGAGAAGAGGATCGGTACGATCCTATTACACGCCAGCCGCACGGATAATCTCGAACTGCTCTCTGGACGTTCAATCCGGTTCAAAGTACGGCACACAGGATAATTGTCCGTGGAAAAACGAAATCTCCCCTGGGGTGGGGGGGAGGCGGGGGTAATGACATATTACGAGTTCTCGAGTCGCCAGGATGGAAATCTGTTGCGGCCAAGCGTACCGTTACCTGGGACGTGTCTACGCACCCCTGAATCATATCGACGGATAGTGGCTGAACGAATAAATAACGATCGTACGCGCGCGGGTTCAGGCGACGTGTTCGATGACGCGTGCGCAGAGACGCGATTTAAATCGCCACGGTCGATCGACCGCCGATCGTGGAGCAGTCTCTCTCTTTCTCTCTACCCGATGATACCTATATGGGTCGGTTCAGGAAGTAATTTCGCGTGTGTCGTTGTTATTCAGTGCGATAACTCAAACGTTTCATTCTCGTTTTGCAGAGTTCGAACCTTGGCCAAGAGCTGCTGGACAGAGTGTTCAGGCATCTGAATTTATTGGAGACTGCGTACTTCGGCCTGCGTTACCTGGATCACGGGAATCAGACGGTAAGTATATTGTTTCTAGTAAATGGACCCAGTTATACTATATAAATTTTGTTATGCAGTATTGCTGCCATATTCCCATCGTATCGAATTTTCTGATAGTGGGAGAGTAAGGAAGAGGGATTAATGATGATTGAATCAGAAGAAGAAGGTAGGAATCAGAGGATAGGAATCATTCGAATGATCGCACAGTGGGAGAAGTAGCGTACCTAGCTGAGGAATAGTCTAAAAGTAGTATATGTCAAGTCCGTACAAAAATTATAGCGAATCCGTGCGAATCTCAGAACGGGCACTATGAAGAACAAATTATTTTACAACAGTACAAGAAGACTCGTTCAAATAGTCTTTATTGCAGAGGAAATAATATAATAATCTTTACGATAATCGGCTCGATATATGATTGTTGGGAGTAGATTTTAACCAAAATTTAATTTTTCGCCTTTGTGTAATGTATGCATAGAAGAACGTTGCACGTGAAATGAATTAAACCAACTCGAACTTGGAATAAAGTTTGAAGGTCAAAATCTATGTTTACATGTTCGAATACAAATATGTAATTATTACTTATTTATTAGTTAATCATATAACATCTTTATTTTCAAAAAATGGCAAAAGGTCGTTATTGTCAAGGAAATGTATTTTCATAATTACAATAATATTTTTCTTTATTTATCTATTTAGTAAAATCAAGTATAGAAACGATCAGGATTTTCTCTGACACACCCTAACATGTTACTTCTACGTAAAAAAAGCAGTTTATAATCTTTCGTGTGTAATTCAATCAGAATATTATCACTAGACTGCGGATGTTTATGTAAATATAGACACTTGTGAATCAATGTATAAAACTTAGAGTCAACTAGAAAATTGTTTGCTTTATTAAGGTTTCTATTAGTTTCAACAAAAAACTAAAACCTCGCTGAACTTGATTAAAAATGTAATTGCACCGAGTTGTAGACAATCGTGTATGCGATAAGTGCATAAAATCGACAGTCCAATTATCACATTTCCAAGTAACGTACACTAATTTTCGAAGAAAAATTGTTATATAAATAGTCCAAAAAATCGTTTACATACAAAGTTTCTCACTGTTCACAAACTAGTAAAAGAATAAATTTATTCATTCGGTAAAGAGAGTTGAAAATTCACAAGCTTCAATGAAGTTCTTCGTTTCTAAAGTTTGGCTGAATGAGATTCGGGGTGCTTGGTATCCCACGATACCAGCCGTGTTTCACACAGTTCGGAGGCGTGATCAATGCAGTAATAAGTTCGAGCAGTTTACCGTTAATTAGATTTCCACGATTAAAAATTCATACGGGGGATGCCCCGAAGGCGACCGATCGCATCGCCCTCGGGGCGCTATATGTATGAGGATAGGATTATTATCCACGGGAAATGTCGAGCTGGTTGCAATTTCCGGTTCCCTTGATCAACAGTTTCAACGTAGCTCGGCCCCGTTCGGCGCGTTGGTTATTAATTATAATTTAGAAGTGATTCTCGACTGTTCATATTCGGACGGTGTTTCAGCAATGGCTCGACCCAAGCAAGAAGATCGGGAAACAGCTGAAAGTCCAAAAAGGGGATCCAAGCTCGGACGTTCACACCCTCTACTTCGGCGTGAAATTCTACGCTGCGGACCCCTGCAAGCTCATCGAAGAGATCACAAGGTCAGTGGATTGAATTTATCGTCTGTTACTAACTGGTCCCGATGTGTCGCGATTAGACATAATCGAATATGTAGGTTCCACGGTGAATCTTCGTAGCTCGTAACTTGTGATCGAGGAAGAGCATTTTCGCTGACGAAAATTCGTGGGGATGTAAAGTAAATATCATTCAGCGGGAATAAGATGAAGAATGTTCACTGGTTTGCGAAATATTCGGTGTACAAATGAATAATTCACTATTTGTTTTTTTTTTTACATTATGATCGATGTATCTGAAATTTAAAATATTTTCTTTGCCTTTTGCCGAGCATCAATGTTGTAGGGCGTTGAGAAATCATTACGGATATAAATGAAACAGCGAAAATCCTTGATTTCATAGAAACGAATACAGATTTCGTTGATAAATTGTGGTTTATTGATTGGTACAGTACCTACTGTAATAATACATACAAGGTGTTTCATCTAATTTTGTCACCTGAAAGACTTCTGCTATATTTAACATTTCATGAAAATGTTTCCTACTAAAATTGCATAATTTTATGGCGTAACAAAGTTTTATTCTGATGGGAGAGATTAATGAGATGGTTTTATCCTGTCTGTCACTTGTCATACACATTTTCCCTCTCATTTCAAAATAATCAACATTCTTTGCAGCCCTGTACCGTTTCACTCACGTCCTTACGAAATCATTTGAATATTTCATCTAATCATAAAATCAATTCTGGTCCTTTAGGATGTGTACAAAGAAACACTGCTCCGAACCATTTAGCGTACACTGCACTCATTTTGAAATTCGAGTGTTTACAATGACAAACAAAGCCGAACCGACGGATTTTTGATGACGCATCGTAGTGTTTTCGATGTAGGTACTATAAGCCTGTTTTTGAATTTTCGAAAAATATCCATTATTGTTCCAAATATCGTTCCAACACTCTTGTGAAAAAGACTGTACCTACTATTATTTACTACAAAAAAAACTGTATTTCTCAGAATATTTCCTGCACAAGTGATACGTCGTAGATTAATAACAGTAGTTCGAAGATCCACGGGGATCCACGAGATTGTCTAATGCACACCTCTTAACTCGTTCCCCCAGCGATTTCTCACCTTTCGTGGCACGGCAGTAAAGGATTAATCGTACGCGAAACAATGCAAACCGGGCGGGGACAGCGATCGGTATCAGTTTTATTGCGAGAATCTAACAGTACTCTTTCATTCTCCTTCGTGGCATAATAGCCGTGGCGAATGGAGGAGGGCGGGGGTTAACTGGAATCCGATTTTCTGCGCCGGCGGTAACGAAAATTATATCGTTCCCCGTATTGTTCACCGCCACCGATCGTTACAAATTAACGAACGGGAATACAGTTTTTGTAATCTGTGTCCGATCGGTTACCGTGACGGCCTGTAACTGTACGCGTGTGTTTGTAACGCGCGAGCCTCGGTCCCTCTCCCCCTCTGTGTCCCGTGAATACGAAACAGGCGCGGAGGTAATGCACACACGTGTATGTATAGGTCTCTCCTCGTGTCACAGCCGCCTGGATGCCTGTCTCGTTATCCTAATGAGTCAGGCTTAAAATTCCCAAAGCACGCTTCAAAATCTTTTTACCTCCGCGCCATTCCAGGCTCGACGAGACGGAGAAGTTAGGAGAATTTCAAACACTCCTCCACGACTATGGCGTTCCACTCTTGTTCCGGAAGTGTCCCGCGATATAGATCCACCCTCCTTGGTCTTCGTTTCTTCTTCGAGGTATTTCTTTTTGTATTCTTAACGGGTTGACTGTCGAAACTTTCTCCGTTGAGAGAATGTCGTGGGTAAAATGTGCCTGTTTTATTTTCCTTATTAACCCCTTGCCCTATGATTTTTTTATGGCTGCGATCTACAGGACTACTTTATCGTCAATAATTCCCCGGAATCAAATGGAATTCTTGTACTTATGGCAATTGTACATTTACTCTATAAGTCAAATATTAATATCAGCAAACTAGTATTTCACTTTGACTCAAAGAAAAAGAATAATATTTATGGTTGTTGAAACCATTATTGTTGAACTATAGTGTTGACCTGCATTTGCTGGTTAATCGTTAAATGATGAGGTAGGGGGTTGAGGAACCTCGTGAATATTTTTAGTATATTTTATTGTCGTTCAATAGGAACAGAGATGCTTGTTTATTTCGATGTGTCCTTGCGTGAGAATACAAAACGAGTACAGTAAATCCTTGATGAGTGTTCGAAGGCTTCTCGGCACTGAACATTAAATATTTCATAAACTAATGGCTATATGCAGCTGAAACGAATCAAGGATTTACTGTAGTTCTGTACTAAGTTATAAGATTTGTGGAATAGTAATACTATTTCCATCTGTCAGTTAAGTGTTAAATCATTACTATTATGGGATCGTAATATATACTATCGTAAATATACATATATTTTATTTATGGTTGACATATAAATGTGTTTTTTCTTTTATGAAATTTAATAGACTCAGTCTCAGGTGACTAACATGACAGACAATGTGTTAATTCAGTTGCTCCTCTTGTTAGACTTATTGTTGGATATTTTAATAAGGGAAAATCAATAAATGATGTTGACTACATCAACACTTTGAATATCACATCAATATTCATAGGACTTCAACTGGGTTAGAGTAATTATTTTTAATGAAGTAGAAATTCATATAAATGAAAATGTGACAGAATAGTGAATGACATTATATATGCACACGGTATGGTATGCAATAGGGATTCGTTAAGTGCTCACAGATCGGAATTCAGACGGTAATATATTCACCTTTTCTCATATAAGAGATATGGTGTTAATGATTCTGTTACTTACCATTTAAATGACTAGTCAGGTAATTATCTCGTTGTGCATATATCAAAAGCGCAAAGTCAGCCATGAGTCTTCTTATTTTCAGTTTCAGTACAAGAAACAATCAAAACATCTCGTGATTTGAAGTTACGAAAAACAGAGAAATAGATAAAGGGTATAACAGGATAAGGGGGTAAAAAGTGCCCTTTGACAGATTTGGACTTGTGATATACCATTCGATAGCTTGTTAAGAAAAAAAACAGTTTGTGCGAAGGTTCAACCCTTTATCTCAACCAGGAGGGTAGTAATAGGTAAAAATGGATTGTTGATTTTTCCTCTATTTTTCTTGCTTAATGACGTGCAAAAATTTTGTGAAAAATGTGAGAGATGGTATTTAAAGGGTACACGTTAGAAAATTTTTTGCGATTTCGAGAATCCTAGTTGTAAAAAATCAAAATCGCTGAAAAATACTGAAAAACGTAATGACTATGATTTCTAAACAGAAGAAACAAGTATTACGTTATTTTATACTCGAACGTACAGTTGTTCTTAATCGTTCATAATATTGGAGTACAGTATAATATACGAGACTGTATCAGATGTAAATACCTTCGTGATGCTCTGCAGTGATTATGCAGAGCGCCAGTGATAATCAATTGCATGAACCCCCGACGTTGATTAGCTAATTGAACCCGATTAAGTGGCAATTGTCATTGTATTCAGTTCGAGTTCTATCCTGTAGAATAGTGCATAGAATCTACTATACCTGGTACGTAATGCACCCTATTGTGAACTGTCTGAGAAGCCAGTATGCAACCAAGCAGTGCATAGAATACCCTAAGGACATAATCAACGTTATATAATATTTATAGTTACTTCCAAGAAATCAATTCCTTATTTATAGTAGAAATCAATTATTATTTCATTAAATTAGATATTCAATAACAGTTCGAAACTCAAAATACAAATAAATAATTTGATTTACTCTGCATCAACGAGATCGACAGAAGCTATTGAAATGTCGATAAACTTTTAATGTCATTTATTCTATTTCTTCTCTTGAATTCTTTTTCAAGCATCTCGAAAATGATAAGTTCTTGTGGTGTTAATTGTATGAAAATAAACGAGTAATAAATTTCAGATTGATAAAACGATGAAAACTGCTACTTTAATGCATTATGACGCTCAAATATTTTATATTTAGCTTCATATCTTTACCACTATGAATTGCAGAGACTATTACAAGACTTTGTTAAGATTTGTTCTCGCAATCTCTTCGACTAAAGACTATTAATTCATTTTTCTTGGACACTATTACTAGCTCATGTTCCTAATTAAACTTCCTCAGTCGGTTTGGGCTTCTTCAATCCGATCATTAATCAACTGATCTATTTCAATAGTAAAAATGATTTGACAACGTACGCACTCAGTATAGGGTCATGCGGATTATGTTGTAAATTGGATATGTTATAGTCTTTAGTGTTATATAAATGTATTTCGAAGGATTTAAACAATTTTTTAAATTATTGATTTTACAGCTGTTTGAAATATAGTATCAACCTTTTTTTCAATAAATTATAACTATTGAATTACAATCTTATAAAAGTGCGACACCATTGAAAAATTTGAAGAAAAATGTGAAACGCTCCGAAGCACACCAGCTCGACTGGCCGTGCCGTGCGATACTATCAGCATTACCTTCGATTTAAAACAATTGCAAAATAAATAGTTAAATAATCTATTTTTTAACTGCAATTATTTTTATCAGGTTTTCTTGTGTCATCACTGTAAGTACCCATAAAACTCATTTTGATAAGTTCCTCACTTCAACAGTTATAATTTATTTGCAAAAAGGTCGACACTATATTTCAAACAGCTGTAGAATCAACAATTTAAACAATTTTCAGAAATCCGTCAAGTTACGTTTCTATACCACTGGAGACTGTAACATATCGAAGTTACAACAATATCCGATATGTTACACCAAAAAGTGTCCTATTTCGCGTGGAAATGACCGTATAAAGTAACGGGAAACGAAAAATCGAACGCATCCATTGCCAATCGGTCTGTCTGAAGGGTTCAAACGACATTCTATTCCGCGAGCGTCGAATCCCGGTTCTCGAAACAGATCACCGGTCGTTTTTCGCGACTTCTTATCGGACAGCTAAGCAACTTATATCAGAGAAAGAGTCCC